TTTCTGTACCAGAGTCTTACTTGAGAAACTGAGCAGGATTAGCACAGCTTTTTCTCAGATTTGATGTTTAATAAGATTTTCAGATGAAATATCTACTTAGGTTAGTTAACATTTTATTGTCCCCCTTTAAAAAAAACACACAATTTTTTATGTGAACTAGCTTGTAAAGATTTCTGTACCAGAGTCTTACTTGAGAAACTGAGCAGGATTAGCACAGCTTTTTCTCAGATTTGATGTTTAATAAGATTTTCAGATGAAGGCAGTGGTATCAGTGGCTGTATAAAAGCATCTTTATTTCTCAATTATGGATGGATGGATGGATGGATGGATGGATGGATGGATAGCAAGCAAGCACTAGGTCAGATACCTGAAAAACCATCTGCCTTTTGCTTTTCTGAAAATGGCAGCCTAACTGGTTAATTTAATAGGCCAACACTATGGATAATATCTTCAGGGAGCCCAAATCCATAGCTGAGGGTCAGCAATTTAACCCAAAAGAGTGTGCAAGCTTTGAAGTTCTGGAAAACCCTTTATTAGGTTTAATGATACAAAAACAGATAATGATTCTTGTTTTATGTTCTAGAAGAAAGGAATGAAGGATGAAAGTTGTTTTGTGAATAACTCATCCAAGATAAAGGTGGTCTAGAAAAATTGTGATTTTTTTGCTATTGTTCGCCTGCTGAACTTTAGAACAAGGATCTGTTTGGGCTAGTAGGTACACGTGGAATTTTTGTTCACATGTTTCAGACACTCCTGCAGAATGGCAACTGCAATGGGGGCTTCTCCAGTCACAGAATGGTTGCTACAGAAGTCCTAACCAGTTATAAAACACTGGTTTATAAAAAGCTCCGGGCCACTTCTAGCTCCTGCTTTGCTTGTTGCTCTAGTCAAGGTGGCTTACGATAGTAAATGAAATACAAAATATAAACAAAACAGCATTAATACAAATAAAATCCAGATATAAAAATTAACTGTTAAAGGTGTGGGGGAAGAGACGTATTTTTACCGATTTCCTAAGTACTGGGAGATTGGGGGTCAAATTCATCTGCTTGCCTTTTTTAAAGTCCTTTTTCTGGCAGTAGGGATACTTCAGAAATAATTGGTGGGTTGCAGCTGCTTATTGTTTTGTACTTCTTAAGAAAATTTATGACCCAAAAGAATGTTTATTTCCAGGTGTAATCTTGGAAATAAAGATGGTGAAGGCTGATGCTCTGCTTTGCAGCATGTCAACTTCTTTTATTTTTAATTAATTTTTAACAAAAAACATAAAATGTCAGGTGGGGGTGGAAACCTGGCAAGTCCTCCAGAAGATATATACAGCATGCTGGCATCTCTGGGCGCCATGTTGGAAATTCCAGCTTTCAGAACAGATTCTGTATTAAAATAGTTACAGATGGCTTATGATTTGATTGGGTAACAAATCCCTGTGTTACTTCTAAAGTCTAAATGGCATTTTTGCATTGGTGAGTCTTTCAGACAAAGCTTTCCCAAAGTGACTCTCATTTAAAATACTAAAAAAATGAAATAATCCAAAACAACGAAGATTCTAATAGACATTGGAATGTGAAAAGAAGACAGAGTGATCCAAATTTGAAGAGATGGATTGTGTAAGTGATTCTAGGAAAAGACTTATGTGTTTGAGTTAAGAAGATGCCTGAAGATGCAATGTGCAGGCCAATGCATCTTTCAAATAATTTCCCCCCTTAGAATCTCTATTGTTGTACAGTCATAGTAGGCTTACCATGGTAGACTATAAAACCTCAGAGGATCACTAGTTGGCAGCAAAGATCTGGAGTTTTTGGTATCCCCATATTGCCATCTAGTGGTCCTCTGGGTGTTTGCAGGTCAGATATGATAAGCCTAGAAGATTACTCAGTATTACAAGCACATACTTCACAACGTGGAAGGTCCCAGGTCAATCTCTGCCATCTCAGCTGATAGAAACCATCCAGAGCCATTGCCAGTCAGATCAGACAATACTTGGCTAGGAGCTTGGTAGAATTATACTGCTTATTCTTGGATAAATGTTAAAATATACATGTTAACATGCAAACAATAATGAATCTAAGTGACTCTCTCCCTATAGAATATATAATTTGCCAATTACATGAGCGTAATTATGTCAAATATTTTTTGCAGGTATTATTGGAAGCCCAGAAAGAATTGGTGGATTATAAAGGCCTTGGCATTAGCGTCCTTGGTAAGGAACTCATCTTTATTTGGGATGTTAATGAAAATTCAGGGAACAACTGTTAAAAATAATACATTTCCTTTTAGTACTTGTACCTTTTAAAATTGTATATTAAAACCCCCAAGGATGAAAGAGGTGGGCATAGAGTGGAGTTCCAGAAATGTTGAGACTGCAGCTTATGGAAGTCCAGCCAGCAGACCTATTGGCCATGGTGGCTGGGAATTATTTAAGCATAATCCCAACGCATCTTGCATATGTAGAGAATTCTTTTGCCTCTATTTAGTATATGAAACATGATACGTAAATAAAGCGTGCTCACTGGTGCATGTGATAATCCTTCAGTTGGGCTGAAGCTCCATTTATCCATGACACCCTTGTGGAGTTTAGTACCCTCTGCTCTGTTTACAGTGTGTTAGGTGTTTTTAAAATAAGCTGATTTTTAAAGATGCCTGAAGAAAAGTTAACATGCAGTCATTTAAAAAACTATGTTTGTTTTTATAACATGATGTCCTTGATTTCTTTTCTCTAGAAATGAGCCACAGGACATCTGATTTTTCAAAAATCATCAAAACAGCTGAAAACTGCTTACGTGAACTCCTGTGAGTTACCATGCTTATTCATACTGTTAAAAGCTTGTATTCTGAAAATACTGTAGCTTGAATATATTTTTCCCTTTGTATGTATAGTATATTCATGATTCTTTAATGAACTGTGTATGCTTTATGCTTCAGAAATAAGATGGAACACTTTGTGTTTTGTTTTTTGGCATGGATCGTTCCCAGAATTTTGCAGGAAGGTTCTTTTGTCATTTCTATTCTATGATGGTTTGCAACAGCCACATGTTAATTCTAATGTCTGTGTTAGTTTAGATCTAATCATTAATGTTATGTACTAAGTTATTTGCATTTAGCCATTGTTAAAAACAGGTTGACATTAGTTGTGTTTAATTTTTCACACTGATCTAAATAGGACTTAAATTTAATTTAATCTAATCCAACACAGTCTTTTTAACAAACACAGTAACTCTTGGGAAGAGGAGAATTTAAACTAGAAAACTGGTGAGTGGATTTTAAAATCCTTTTTCTGCTAGGGATGCATGCAGGAAGTAGCTGCCAATTGTCCTAACTGAGAATTGTTGTAATGGGTATTTTCATGGAAAGGCAGATCCTCTTTGCCATGTGACATTCTTCTGCCATCCAGCATGACTTGAATCTTTTTCAGTGAAGTAAATTATGAAATACTTATGTGGGGCTGAAGCACAACATTGCTCTACAAAAGTTGATACAATTATATGATAAAGTTTAGTATGTATGGGCAAATTTGCTTTGAAAAAAAGTCAAGAGTTTCATGCTGTTTGTTTTCTGGACTGTTTTATGACATGATTGAGAGTATTTTGACTTTCCATTTTGTCTTCTTCTAACATATGGGGCTCCTGGGTGCTAATAAGGGCAGAACATGTACATTTTTAGTAGGGCTGCAGTCTGCTATATACAGAGGGTTTTGATTCACTCTCAACACAGCAACAACACTGGCCCTCAGAATGTATTCCAGAGATGGAATGCTTATATATTAGTTCCAAGAGAGGCTAGAAAATGGCCTTAAAGTTTTAGGAACATGCCTCTAAAATTCTTTCACTCCAACAAGTGCTGCTTTTGCCAGTTGCTGACTATTTTGGAGATTAGGCTTCTACCAAGCATATCTGCATGTGGCATCTCCTTGGAGGCTGGCATGATTTCAAGAGGGTCAACTTGCATATTCCAAACTGGATAGGGTGAGATGTATCTGGACTGGAGTGATTCATACAACTAGTTGTGATTTCTTGGAGATCTCTGTCCTTTAGAGAGTTAATTAAATCTTATAAATCAAATATTGAACTATATTTTTTTCAATTCAGTCTGGCATTTTGAGAAGCAGAAGAGTTAACGTTATGCATTCTGCCAACAACAACAAAAAAGGTGATAGAGCAGTATAAAATTCACACCTACTCGATTATCAAGACCCATTTAAGTTTTAAAATATAAGCAAATATATGTGTCTTACTTTACAAATGTTTATTAGTCTGGCAGAAGAGGATTATGCATGGAGGCATCATTTGAGGTGATTACTTCTTAAGTAAACATTAAAATAATACGTTGCTATAAAGTTTTCTCTCCTCGTATCCTGTCTTCTGTTTTTACCAGGCACAATGAGTGCTGAATTACCATTTTTTGAAATCCTTTCTTCTGTTTTGTGCAGCAACATACCAGGCAATTACAAAGTGATATTTCTCCAAGGTGGTGGATCTGGCCAATTTAGTGGCATTCCCCTTAACCTCATTGGGCTTAAAGAAGCCAGGTGTGCTGATTATGTGGTTACAGGAGCTTGGTCAGCCAAGGCAGCAAAGGAGGCAGAGAAATACGCAAAGGTGAACCTGGTGCATCCCAAACTTTCAAGTTACACAAGTAAGTTAACTTGGGGAGACTTACAGTAATATGTATACTAGGTTATTTTCCTTCTATTGTTTGCTGATGATAGTCTTCGCATTATAGTCTCTCTGTCTCTCTCCACACATACACATAATGCACGTACATATTAGGTCAGTCTGCGTGAAACAATTTTTGCAATAGGACTTTAGCTATTTAGTCTGAGGATTTTTACCTTAGTACAGAAAGAAAGATGCACTGTTTTATGGATATTGTATGATTTTTATGATGTTTTTAATGGGTGTATATTGTAAACTGCCAGGAGTTCTTTGAATAGGTGGCATACAAATGCTTGTAATACATACATATAAACATAAATATGGGTGATCGGCATAGAAGGCTTACATTGGCTTTCTTCCCACCTTTACCATTACTACTTGTACTGCTACCTTATTAGATGTTGTTACTTGATTCCTGGTGATTTCATGGACATATCCATGTAGTTTCCTTGATGGCGATATGGAACTCATTTCCCATTGCCAGCCTCTGGGATGTTTCTCCAACTTCCCAATCTAGCCTACAGCTCTGCTGTTCCCTGGAGGTATCCCAGACAAGCACTTAGCAGGTCCAGCTCTGCTTAGCTTCTGAGCTCAAAGCAGCAGGAGAGCTAGGAGAAGCTAAGCCTAGCTGGTTTTTGATCCTATATTATTTCTCCCTCTTTATCACATTTGATGCCTTTTGCATCAAAGATAATAGGATTGGTCTGTGTGAAAGCAAACCCATAAGACAAGTTAGTGCATATAGAAAACTGCCTTTATTCAGTCCATTTAACAAATTCATGACTTGTGGAATTGCTTACTTGTAATGGTGCTAAATCTAATACTAAAGTTATTTTTTAATCTTTTATTAAGCAAACAAATGTGGCTTCAAACATGTAAAAAAAGTATGACACGATACAAACCCAGATCTGGGTTTGGTAGATCTTGAAGTACCAAATAATCCAGTTCCTTTTGCCTCTCTGTGCCTTTTCCTGTGCTTCTATTTCACATTCTTTCTACTTTCTGCCCCTGCCTTTATTTCTGATGTATAACTAAAGCAGAGGCACGGAAGGTAATGTCTGTCCTATCAGCAAAGACAATTCTGAAATTGGTCCTATTTTTGTCCTTCCTCCAACCATTGCCAGTAAAGGTCCAATGGGAGAGATCCTAGAAATTGTTTTTTTTTTTTTTTTAATATGAGATTATATTATTTGTAAGCCACCTTGGTAAGATTTATATCCCTCTGAAAATAGGATAAAAATAACTGTAGAAAATAATACTGTTTTTTTCTTACTATACTATACCTTTATTTATCAAATTGCGAGGCTTCATAAGTTTAAAAAGCAAGAAAAACAACATTATATAAGAAAGGAACACAGTTGCCCTAAGGGAACAGATTCAAAAAACAATCTCCCACATGACCCCCAATCTAACGGGGTCTGTCAGACACCTTAAACTGAAGCCTGGGAAAAGAGCCAAGTTTTTAGGGTTCCCCTCAGAGGTGGGGAGGGTGGGAGCCGTATGAATCTCCAGGGGGATGTTGTTCCAGAGGGCAGGTGCTACAACAGAGAATGCTGCTTTCCTGAGCTCTGCTAGATAGCATTGCTTGATCGATGGAACTCAAAACAAGCTGATTCTGTCTGATTGCACGAGATGGGCAGACACTACAGGAGACAGAAATAGTCCCTGGAATAGCTAGACTTTATAGATAATCATCACCATCTTGAATTGTACTCAGAAGCTTACTAGTAACTAGTGCAGATCACAAAGCAGTGGTGTTTTCTGAGCATAGGAAGGCTTGCCAATTACTGCTCATGCCACTTATTCTGAACTGCAACTTCTGAGTGGTCCTCAAGTGCAGCCCAATATAGAGTGCATTGCAATAGTCTGCCCACAAGGTGACCAAGTGACTGTAAGGAGGCTTCTTGGTCCAGGGATAGGTGCAACTGGCACACAAATTGGGCTTCTGCAAAGGCCTTCCTGGCCTCAGCTGCTCCCTGTTCCTTGAGCACGAGCTGAGAGTCCAGGAAGACCCCCAGATTGTGCACTAGTCCCAAATCATGGAGTGCAGCCCTAACCCATTCAGACCAAAAGTGGAGAATCCCTAGAACCAGGGACTCTAAGCATCCACAGCCACTCAGACTTGCTGAGATTGAGATTGAGCCTGTTCTCCAACCAGATCCCAGCAGCTTCCAGACACTGGGACAAGAGCATTGTTTGCTTGGCCAGGAGTCAAAATATACTGATGATACCTGACCCAAATCAACAGATGACCTCCCCCAATGGCCTCATGTAGATATTAAACGGGGAAGAAAGCATCGAGCCCTATGGCACCCTACAGTTGAGGGACTTCAGGCTCAATCTCTTTCCCCACCTAACACCAACTGAAATCAGCTGCGAAGAAAGGAAAACTATATCTCCCCATTCTGTTCCCTGCAACTGTTCTGAAAGGATACTATGACTGATGGCATTAAAAGCCTCTGAGAGTTCAAGGAGGACCAGGATAGCTGCATCACCCCTACTCTGGCACTGCTACAAATCCATGACAAGCATGATCAGTGTTGGCTCAGTATTGTGCCCAGTCATGAAATCTGCTTATAAAGGTCCCAGATAATCTTTTCTTCCAGGGTCCTCTGCAACTGCAACCTTTTTAGTAACCTTTCATAGAAAGGGGAGATTGGAGACTGGACAAAAATTGTCCAGGGTGATTGGGTTTAGCGATGGCCTCTTGAGGTGGCACACCAGTAGAATCACCCCTCTTTCAGAGAGGGTGACACCACTGCATGAACCTAACCATATGTCACCTCCTGGGATGACTTTAGCACTTGGGAGGGACAAGAATCTCACTAACAAGTGGCCAGGTTAACAGTCCCAAAGATGCTGTCTACTTCATCAGGAGTTACAGGATCAGATTATTTCCTCTAATCGAGTGAGACCTTGCCTCTGTCATGTTGTCTAGACCAGCTCAGTTGGAGTCCAACTTTGTGAATCTGAGTGAATCTTCTAGATGCCTAGAATATTCTTCACAGCAGCCCAATAAATGGTTCTGTGGCCCATCCCTCCCCCAAAATGAACATGTCACCCCATGAAAAGCTGCTGGTTGGCTATCAGCAGATATGATAAAAATGGAGAAATAACTATGTTTTGTTGCTATATAATCCCTAATATGGGCTCTTACATATGCTTGGTTAGGTTCACACTTCAGTTTCCTCCAATGGTACTCTAGGGACCTGGTGTCTCTAGTGAACTGACCTAATAGATCCTACCTTCCTGTGGTGGCAAGGGAGGGGTAGTATTAGTGTGTGTAGGTCTTTTAGTCTTCTTACTAAAGAAGACTAAGTAAGGCCTCTTCTTTTTGTAGTTAGTAGGGAGCATCTGCAGTGGAGACCCTGTGTGGAGAATCTGGATGGGAGGGAGGGAAGGAAGGTAAGAAGGAAGAAAGGAAGGAAGGATCTCCATTGCAGATACTATCCTGCTACACATGGAGGGGGAGGCCTGCACTTCTGCCTCCTTGAAGTAACTACTGTACTGGTTTCTCCCTCTTGATTTCCTTTTTGTGGCTTAGACCTCCTGCCCATTCAGTATCTTCTTCCTTGACTGTCTACTCACATATCAAAGAAAAGTATCCCAGTTCTTCTTGAAGTGACAGCAGCAGTTTCCCCCCTCCTTTTCAGCCACTTGCATTCATTATTTGCAGATCTTGTGATTTGCTTGTTTTTGATTTTGGTTACTTTGTGAACTCAATGAAATCAGATCTATTTTGAGAAAATACTGATCTCTCTTTCAGGCAAGCATGGTAACTGGTTGAAATTCAAAGACTAATGTATAAGAGGAGGGGAATAATCCTGCAGGAGAGTACAGATTTTAAAAATCCAAATATTTTTGGCTGCTTTTCTGCATCTCCCTTGGCTTTGCTTAGTTAGAATTTTATCCTGCTTTTCCTTCAGGGACTCAAGATATTCCGTCCTCAATTTTTTTTTCAAATTTTGCAGAAGCCCCTGGGCATCTGTAGTGGGGACAAGAGAAGAACAGATTACACAGTGTGTGTCCTGACCCAGATTCCAAGATGTACATACCTGTATCAGAGAACAGGATGCTAGCATCTAATTGCTGCATGTACATTATGACATCACTATCCATTTTGGAGTTACTGTAGCTCAGAATCATTTATTGAGTTTCCAAGGTTCCATATGGACTCGAATCTTGTAATCTTTTGCTCTAAACCAATATGATAACCATTATATCACACTGATACTCTTATGCTGCTTGTGTCTGCTCTTGAACCTCAGGGCTGAACATTAGAAGATTGGGCAGTTGCTTGGACATACATGCTGCAAATTTCTTTAACCTGAATACACTTCAGCCATAATTAATACTGGCTTCACAGTTAGAGTTTTTTTTAAAGTACCATGAAGGGTCTTTGAAGTTCTGAAATACGGCCAGCGTGATATGTTGTGTAAGAAATTATCTTTAAAATAAATAATTTAAAATAAATGTTAAAATTATATAAAGACTGGTAAGTACAAGGATAGGCAACTTAGTGTTTGCCAACTATTTTGGGCTACAATTCCTACATCTCATAGCCATATCGACTGAGGCTGATGGGAATTAATTTCAAAATATCTGGAAGGTCTCTGGTTACCTATCACAGAGCTAGTGGACACATATTATCATATTTCTATTTTAAAAGATGGGCTCCTTTACTTTGGATTCACAGCAGGGTTTCAAAAGCTGGTTCTCTAGGTACTGCGAAGTTCAGGTATTGAATGTATGACTGTCTCCTGCTTCAGGAAAGCAGTAACCTGTGCTCATTCCCTGATTGAGATGGCAGGTTCCTACTCATGTGGAATTCATGGATTTCAAAGTAAATAGGTGAACTATTTGTATGTGTGTATATGTGTGTGTGTGTCTGTATGTGTGTGTAAGAGAGAGTATAAAGTAGTAACTCTCATATTTTATGTCATTTATAAATACACTGCTGATATTTAGGAATATGAGTCACCAATCCAAGGTTGGAGAAGTATTAAATTGAGGATTAATTTACAGGAGTGTGCATGCTTCAAAAATAATTTAGAAGAAGATTTCAGACCTTCTGCAAGCAGAGCACTTCTCTGTTTTTAAGGCAGCCCATCTTTTTTTTTAAAGCAGCCCATTTTTTTTAGGCTTTGTGTGAGCTTTAAAAAGTTGTGACTGCTTTAAGAAGTTGACTCATTCAAGTTACTGCAACTCTTACAGTAGCTGCAATCTTTTTTCAGGATCATGCAGAAACTGTTAAAAAGATAGGCTACTTTAATGAATAGCAGAGGTGCTCTACCCATGTGAAGTCTGAAATGTGTCTTCTGAATAATTTTCAAAACTTGAATGCACATTCAAAACTAGAATGCAATACCAGGCATTCTTTTTTTTTGTATTTAAAAAAGTATGTTCCTTTAAATGCCTAAATACTTCTGAACTGAATGTTAGAGTTATTTTGTTCGCTAGTCAGTTACTTCATTTACACACCAAGTGGATTTTTCTCTCCCAGTTTATCAGACTCTGCTTTTTCCAAGAAGTTACCCAAGGTTGTAGTGGCTTAGGTTTTTAATAGTGAGTTTCCTTGCTGCAGAAGGAGATCAATTTTGTTGGCAGTGCACTTGACCTTGCCAGTTGTTCCTGGCATATCATTGCAACCAGCCTGCTGAATTAAAAAAAAAATGACCATTGTTTTCTGTCGTCTTATCTGCTTCAGAAATCCCTGATCCAAGCACCTGGAACCTTAACCCTGATGCTTCTTATATCTATTATTGCGCAAACGAGACCGTTCATGGTGTGGAATTTGACTTTGTACCTGATGTTGGAAAAGCAGTCTTAGTTTGTGATATGTCATCAAACTTTCTCTCCAGACCAGTGGATGTTTCGAAGGTAACTTTCCCCAAAGGCATTTCGCAATATGAAATAACCTCAAACCTTAGGTCACTAAGGCCAGTGCCTGTGTTCCTCTTACTGAAGGCTGATCATGTTGAATTTACAAACTTGGACATGTTCTATGCATTAATGAAGTAGTTAGAACTGTATAAATATTGTATGAATGCACCCATGGATTCAATATATCTTTTTATTTTTTCTCCCCAATGTTAAGTTTGGTGTTATTTTTGCTGGTGCCCAAAAAAATGTTGGTTGTGCCGGAGTCACAGTGGTAATAGTGCGTGAGGACTTACTTGGCTTTGCTCTGAAAGAGTGCCCCATTGTGTTGGACTACAAAGTGCAAGTAGAAAACTCTTCATTATATAACACACCTCCATGCTACAGGTAATATTGCTAAAGGATCATATTGAATTCATCCTGCTGATTAGATGTTACAGTTCATTTAGTTTTTGATCAGTAGTGGGAAGGAGGGTCAAGACAAGTTGGAGAACATATGTGAATTAAACTTCTGATTTTGGAGTGCTTCTAAAATAGAGCAGGTTCTTCAAGTTTCAGAGGTGCTGAGAGGATCTGGAACTAGTTGTGTCCCCTCTTTCTCATATAGTTCTGATCACATGAGGGCAATTGATATCTGAGTAGGAATGCCGTGATTGCAAACAGAATCCTAAATGAGACTTATTTGTGGTTGTTCCCTTTTGACTATTGCCCACCACTATGTAAAAAGAGACCCAAGCTGTATTTGGAACCAACCCAGGCATTTCTTTGACTGGGTGTCTCCTTCCACACCATACTCTTCTATGCAGCTCCTGCAGACACCTGGTTGAAATAGAAGCTCAGTGGGTGACTTTGAGCCAGTCACTCTCTACCTCACAGGGTTGCTGTGGTGAAGTAAAGCAGGAGGCAGTACTGTATACCCCAACTTGAGCTCCAGAATGAAAAGGCGAGATATGAATCTAGCAAGCAAATATGTCACACTGGCCCATCTCTGCTGCTATTTCATTAACTGTCTGAAGGTTGGAAGGGGAGACTCTGGATACAATGGCATTATAAGTAGAGCTTTGCTTTAACTAAACCAATGTTCAAGTAACTTGGTACCCTCAAAAGATTTTGACTACAATTTCCCTTAACCCTAGTCCATAAATTCAATGGTTTTAGGCTTTATGATTCCAGATTGCTACTCCTGGCCTAGACTTATAAGAAATGGAGGGAAGAGAAGTAATATCCTGGTGGTCCCAAATTTTAGGTAAAGCCTGGTTTAGTGTTTCTTTTTTGACTACTAGTGAGTGTTGGATGTATTCCTTCTTGTCCTATCTAATCCATTTAGTATCAGGACACAAAACTTATTCTGCTAACCTTCCTCTTGAGGGAAACTCTTAAACCTTTGGAAGCGCATTTAAGAAAATTTGAGTGTTGCAAGAAATGGTAACTATAGAGCAATCAATTATTTGTACAGTCATTACATAATAGGACAGGGGTACCCTCTCCTTCCTCCAGGGCTGATCAGTTGCAGACCTCTAAGCTCAATTTATTTGGTAAAGATTTTGGGCATAGGTATATAATAGTACAAGCATATTTGCAGAACATATCACGTTACAGTGCTTTAATTATTAACCTGCAAATTGGCAGGGTATGTGCACTGTGAGTTTATTTTTAAAAGCAAACTCACAGTGCCGTTTGTGTTGCCAAAGATTGGCTAAATTTTCAGTTCTGCCTAGTCCCACTTTTCTTCCTTTTTGGTGACAGCATGGGTTGCCAGGATCCTGAACTGAATGTCTAAGAGTTGGCAGAGTGATGCACTGAATTAAATTCCTGCAGTGTGGATCATTTTAACTTCCTGTTAATAGCAGACCTGCCTTCCTGACATTAATCTTCTGGGTAGATATTAATAACCCTTTTCCCCAGAAGAAATCTCATTTCCTAGCTACAAGGATTTGCCTGATATTTAAATCTATAACTAAACCTGCTTTAGGGACAGCACTGAAGCTTGCTGTTTAGCTTTAAAGTGGGTCATTCAGTTATTCTTCTCCCCCCTTCCCCCTCCCCCATCTGCTGAGGGAATAGGGAAGGCTTAGTTGAAATTCAGCTGAGTGTGGAAGAAAGGAAATATCCGTACTGGGCAACTGGATGAGCAAATCTGACTTGGCAAGAGCGCACAGGGAGGCAGAAAAATACAAGAGCCCATGAAGAGAGTACTATCATTAATGTTTGTAGATTATATTCTGCCAATAAAAAGCCAAATGGCCAAAATCTTATGGGACAGCAATATTTCTCTTCTCATAAGTTCTCACATGGTTTCAGCCATTCAGAGTTGGTGAGAGTTGGGCAGCATACAAGTTTAATCATCATCATCATCATCATCATCATCATCATCATCATCATCATCATCATCATCATCATCTGTTGTTTTTAAAGAAAAATGTAATGTTTAGTTTAAACATTGTTTAAAATAACTTCTTTGGGACTTTCTCTTCACCTGAAAAAGTAGCCACAGTCTCTGGAAAAGGAAGGCAGTTTTGGAGGCACTAGGGTGCACCAGCTGCATGAAGAAAGGTAACTTCTGAGCATGCAGCTTCTAAAGATTGGAGCAGTTGTAAGACCATGTTGGCCACCGTAAGACTGGAGACACTATTGGCTTTAGTACCATTTAGTACCAAACAAACAACAGCTTGGTTCTAAGGCTGTTGATCTGGAATAATCCCATCAAGTTCAGTGAGCATGGTCCTTCTCATAGTACCTAAGAAGTTTGGGATATTTTGGTTGAAAGCCTGCCATGGGCTAAATATATTCAGAGGCCTTGAATGTGGTTATCCTTGGCAAGAGGATAATAAATACCTTTCAAAGTGGGTTGGAAGGATTGTTGAGAGGTTTTGTGAGTAAAGGTACCTGAAATTGTTTCAGACTCTAGTGTAAACTAGTCATACTAGGGATTGTGGTAATTATGCTTTGGTTTCAGCCTCCAGAGATTGCAGTGTGGTTCAGAAATGTACAAAAGTTTACCTGCAAATAAATTAAAAGCATTTAAGATAGAGGCGTTCTGTGCTCATTTAAGACAAATTCAAAGGTCATATTGCCTGAAAATTCTCAGAGGCTATGCCAAGGTCTGAGGGCAGTTCCAACCTATGAAGGGTCCAAGACTGGAGAATGCTGGGTTTTGGAGTATCTCTTTGCACACTGTAACAAAAGAGAACCTATAGGAAGGATGGTGTTAAAAATGCAAACATGCACGCAGTTTATCATTATGCAAAACAGGATCCACAAGAAAGGTCCATGATTTGGCAATTTTGTAGCTAAAATCTCAAAAAGTGAACTGCGTGCATGTTGTGCTTTCATTTTCATGCAATAACTTTCTTTGAAAATTGTAGTTAACAGCTACATGAAAGCTACAGAGTTCTAGTAATCTTTTAGTTCTATTTGATTTTTCATTTGATAATTTTTATCAATTTTTATCATTGATCAATTTTTATCCATTTTAAAAAGTCTAAAAAAAAATCTTTGCTAGCAACTAGCTTTGCAAAAACATGCTATAAGCATAAAAGAAACAGATGGGAGGTTAGCTCCAATGGATATGTGGAGAGAGTATTACTGTTATATGCATAACACCAGAAATTTTTAGCAAATTCCAGTGCCTTTTCTCTGTTTGAACTGAGATTAATGTTCTCAGACATGCAGAGTATTTCTTTTACTTGCAATTTTGCCAGGGGTACGCAGTTTCCCTTGACTTAAAGACCACACCCCAGGCTTTCTGCTGCATATAAAGGGCCTTCTCCAAAAACAGACTGGTCAGGCTATATCTGAAGGGGATGTTAAGGAGTTTTCAAAGGTGAAATGGATGCTTTAAGGGTCTGCAAGCCTTAGATCTTCTCAAAATTCCACAGCAACAGATTGTGATCTTATGCACTTTGGGGGCCATAAAAGGGATTAAAGCTCCACGTGTATGTTTGTACTATAATTTCTACAGCTATGACAGAACAAGTGTCCAATGAAAATGTTGCTCTGATGGAAATTTCTTGGCACCTGTTATCATGGCTATTTATGTGTCTTAAGGCAGAGAAGTCCTATAGAAGCTTTAAATGATTATCATTTGTCTTGCTTGCTTAAGTTGTTTAAAATGGCTGGTTCTGCTCAAGCACATGCTGATCTAGACAAATATGGCATGAGTGGGGTTGGCTTTGATATGCAGTAATAGGCTTTCTCTTTCCCGCTCTTTCAAATCCCCATGGTTTTGAGTCAGTTCTGTGTTACATATCCTAAACCTAGTATTTTATATGATAGAAGCAGAATGTGTAGAATGACTGATTGTGAGTAATTGCTGCCTCCCTTTTTGATTCCAGTATCTACATCATGGGCTTGGTCTTGGAGTGGATAAAAAACAATGGTGGTGCTATGGCTATGGATAAATTCAGCCAAATTAAATCGCAAATGATTTATGACATTATTGACAAATCTAATGGATTCTATGTGTAAGTATGATTATTGTGAAACAGAGAAAAAGAAAAGTGGCTTATAGTAAGGCATGACTTGTTGCCTGTATATCTGTCATGTCAAGAAAGAGGGAATTAACTCCTTTAAAACTGCCACTGAAACTTTTCCACATGTTAGAGGCAAGCAAGGAAGTTAATGATCACAACAGCGGCCTTGTGTGTCCTTTTTGATAAACACAAAAGAACGAGAATCTGTAACAAACATAGGGAAAGTTCACATGAAACTTTACTGTGCAAAGCAGAAATACTTTGGAAAACATATTGAAAACTTTTATCTGCTGTAGTAAGGGCAGAAAAGGGTCACCTTTTAAAATAAATAAATGAGTCCTAATATCAAGATTGGCCAGACTTTTATAGATTGACTTATGTTTGGCAAGAGAGATGAATACAGCTAAAAGACTAAAATGGCAAGTTGGCAACTAGGCTTGCAAAAATTCAGATTAACAACTTGCTTCATCACATAGTTGCCTCTTTTCCCCAAGTAATATGCAAAATATGTGTGGAATAGCTAAGCTGGGTTTCTTTAACCATGATGGAAAGACCCACAATTGGCTAGACCCCAAGATCATGCGAGGCCATAAATATAAAGTCTCTGCAGAGATCCAGATTTGAAAAGAAAAACATGATTTGGAGTAGATGGGGTGTTTATGTTGTACTTCTTGGCACCTCCTTAAAGCTTGTACAATCCAGGAAAATATTTAAGGAGATGCTGACAAGTGTGATGTATACTTTGTACCTTGAATCACCTTTCCCCTTCAAATCTGGATCTCCTCTCAGACCTAATAAACTTTCCTGAACTGGGCACTATGGTTTGTAAACAATGTATTAAAATATATGATGGCTTAGTGCAGTGTGTGAACCCAGACAGTGTTAGAGCACATGCAAAAGGTCCCAGAGCATCTGCTGCCAAGGGTAGAGAAATGACAGGAGCAGTAACAGGTAGCCTACATTTCTGATTCTACTCATTGCCAGCTGGAGTCCCATCTCTAAAGAGGAAGAAAGCCCGTGTCTCATTATATTTCTAGGGAGCCTCAGCATTCACCAAGGTGTCTTAGTCTAGGGGTTTTCAGTTTTTTTCAGGCCATGGAATCAGTTAAAAGATTATTCCCCAGAGTTTCCGATCAAGCGGTAAAACTAAAGACTAAATTTTCACTAAAGAAAATTGGCTGTGTTCAAGTGAATTTTTGTTTGTTTGCTCTTAAGTTTTTTATGGAATCCTAGGGTTCCTCAAGACACAGCTTGAAAAACCCTGAAAATGTTGCTCTCCCATCTTGGAGTCAGTTTACTCTCAAGCTGCTTTCCCACCTCATTTTTACCATCTTCACTCTGAAATGTGGTTAAACTAACAGTTTAACAAGAGGTTCACACAGATTGGCTATGGATAAACTTCAGAGTCCTGGACTTCACCGATCACCCCAACTGCAGGAATACGTTTGGTTTATTGGTCACTTTAGGTACAAATATTTTTTAAATTCCTTCTAAATTTGAGGCGCATTGATCTGAAGACAAAGTAAGACCACATCTCAAGGAAGCATAATGGCTTAAACTTTTCTGTCTCTTTCCTTCCACCTATACAGTGCCTCATCCTTTTTGTATACGTGAGGAAGCTTATGTTTGGAAGGAGTAGAGAGGTTACAGTTTTTCAAACAATTGTTGCCATTTTTAAAAATGATGGTCCTCTAATTTAGTTACTAATTACTGTTTGGGGTTTATAAAACAATTATCTCTTTAAGGGCATGCATCAATCCAAGAAATTATGGCAACTGTCATGATATTTATATATATACTATCCTTGGAACTAGAGGTGATATGTTTCCTCAAACTAGTCACTGGGGAACATCAGTGGGACTCAGTCTAGTCTCTCTTTTGGTCTCTCAGGGCTCTTATATTAACTAATGAGAGTTATGCTTTAGCTCAAGAAAAGTGTCAAAGGCTTAATTATTTTTTAAAATAAAAATTAAGGGCTGTTCATGTTAATTAGCCTTTGCCTCTGATTTGCAACATGTTAAGTGTCGGTGCAGTGCAAGCTGATGTGCATAATGATCACATATGTCCTCAGCATGGTAAGTGCTAATCTGGCCAGGCTGGCTAAAAATAATGGAAGTTGACATTCAGCATATCTACTGGACACCAGATTGGAGAAAGCTGCTGGAAAGACTCCCTCTTCAGTTGCGTTTTCACGTGCTGTATAATTTTCTCCCAAATAGCCCTTTGCAGAGGGAAGCAGCTACTGTGGCTGAATAAACACCATGCTGTTTAGAAACATATCTAGCTTACTAATATGTATTGCATTTGTAACAAGTCAGTGAAAGTGAGGTGGTAATAGCCCTTACGTTTGTAACATTTACAGATGCCCTGTGGAAAAAAAGAGCAGAAGCAGAATGAATGTTCCCTTCCGGATTGGCAGCATTAAGGGTGATGAAGCTCTAGAAAAGGAATTCCTTGATAAAGCTGTAGAAAACAACATGATATCTCTGAAAGGCCACAGGTAAGAGAGAGATCTTTGAAGAAACTTTGTCTTGGGTCATTCTAGGATACGTCTGGATAAAATTACTCTTGTGGCTTTCGGGTCATGTATGTGTGTGTTTACACATGCGTGCATGGATACACCCACTTACACTCATCCAAGAATGACAGAAGTACCTTCTGTTTTCAGAATTAATGAAAAGGAAAAGTAGCACTTACAAAGGTTACAGTGAACATTTGCCCATGTATTTTTTTTTTTAATATAAACTTGTCACTCAAGCAATGACTTCTCTTTCCCAGAGCAGTTCTGGCTAGTCATGGATCGCATCATGAATGTGGTGATTTCAAGATGAAATACAGACATTGAAGGCATACAAAGCCCTGCGTGATCCAGGATCCTTTCTTTAAGGACAGTGAAACATATTAAAAAGGGGAACAGGGTTTCCTGAGCAGGATTTTGTCCCTCTTTCTTGGTAACAGTCTAAAAGGGGGCATCTTTTGGTGCTGAGGTAAATGAGCATCCTGAAAATCCAAGGCTCAGACCTCATGATCATATCACTGTCTACAACTGGAGATTTTTTTTCACAGTTCCTTACTGCAGCATTTAGGATACAGAGGTGTTCTCCAATAGGCACCAAGTTCTTCAAGTGCTTCAGTGCTCAGCTAATCAAGGCTTAAAATACAAAGTAATCTACAGACTTATTCATTACATGTACATTCTCCATTCTTTTATTATATCTTGCCAACTTCATATTGCTGGAAGCTTTTCCTTGGATGATTCTTTTTGCCTATATGCTCACAGAACACTAAAAAGTCATTGTGGATGAATAAACCTCCTTTTAGTATAAATGAATGTTCTGGAACACCAAGAAATGCATGTGTTTGTGAAACTGAGTGACCATCCATCCCCCCCCCCCCCCCCCCCCCCATTTTCCTTCATATTACAGATCTGTGGGTGGAATCCGTGCATCTTTGTATAATGCTGTGACCATGGAAGATGTTGAGAAGCTAGCAATGTTCATGAAAAGCTTCATGAAGATGCATCCAAAACAAACCTAAGAAGCTGGCATCGTGGTGAACCACTTTTGAAATAAAATAGCAAAGAATTAGAAGCTAGAGAAAGTTAATGTAAAATATTCAATAGCATAAGTCATGTTTTTGAAACAAAGTTTTTGATATTTTTTCTGGCCAGTCAAATATACATAGCAGTTTTGGCTGACTTGAAGACAGCCAAACTCCACATTTGGCCCTAAAAGAGTGCTTACGTTTCTGTGACCGTTCAGTGGTCCATAAAAGGATTGGTAAGCTTTTAATTTTTAAACAGATTATATCAGTCATAAGATACTAAGAATTCTCTGAAACTTACAGTTTCAATGCCAGATGCAATCCAATCTTGTATAAAATATATTTAAGTATACTTTGTTACATTTTCCTGATGTTTGTTTCTTCCTTGATTTATTTAATTTAAAATTTAAATCTTAAGACTGCCATAAGCTTGAGCTGGAGACTTTTTCAATGTCTGATCATTCCAAGTACACATCACTAACAGTGCCTAAGGAAATTACTGCCAGTCATGCAGACCACAGGCCTCAATCTGGCAAATATTTTGAAACAATATACCTAATGAGTTTTAAAGACCTGGCTCTATTGCTGTTTTCCAACTGTTAGCACATAGTTAACTACACCAGGGTGCAGGATTTTTTTTCTTTTAAAATAGACTGAAAATATTGATTTAAATCATTTTGGCAATCTCAGATTATCAGCCCAAAAGTAAAAATTCCTTTCCTATCCTCTTCTTTTTTGAAGTCTACATCACTTTCATGTTTTTATAAGGCTGAATTGACTCGACACGTTTCCCCTTATTGATTACTTTTGGTCAGATGTATAATTTTGCTTTATCAGAAGAGGCAGCTGAAGTAAACTGGGGCTAGGTATGTTCTGCACACTTAACTGATAGAATCAAACAATGAAAAGATTGGAAGAAACCATGGAGATCCCCAGTGCAGATCCCCAGTTCCCTCCCCAGTGCAGAGATCCTTCCTTCAGCCCTGCATGATCTCCATGTAGGAGAGTTCGCATCTGTGAAACAACTCATACTGTTTAATATTGAATGTCCTCCTCATATATTGTGATCTTTATATGTTTCCCATATTTATAGCTTGTTTTCAGGTTCTCTCTCAGCCCAATAATGTTTCTCTTAAAGTTAACTAAAACAATTAGTTCCTCAAAACAAATTCATCATATTGTTAATTCATAACACTGAGCAATCTCTCCCCAGCTGCTTTTTATAAAAATAGCACATTATAAGTAGGAGCATTAATTGGTTGCCTGATCATTTTCCATCTCCTTAAAATTGAAGCTTATCAAACAGGGAACAGAATTTCCACCTTAATGCAGAATTTTACCACATTCAATATGAATACAGAACCATTTTTGGGTAGAAGGCCATATGTGAGTCATGGGAGATGCATTGAACACTATATGTAGGTGGGGAAAGTGTCCATCTCCAGAGTAAGCTATATTTTTCTTAATTTTAACCCAGTTTTAATCAGATGATACATCTCTCCAATCACATCTAGGTTTAAAGTTACATTTTGAGGGATCTTCTGTCTTCCATAGTATCCGTCTGTCCTGACAGTTGACATGCTTTAGGTATTTCAATTAAAAAGTATCTAATGTCGCGGTGCCTGCCATCTGGAACAGCATTCCCCCCCAGATTTGTATTGCCCCTTCCCTGGCCTTGTTCAAACCTGGCATTTCAAACCTGGCTCTTCACCCAGCCTTGGATTAGGCTGAGTAGTAGGCTCTTCGTGGGAATGCTGTATATTTGAGGAGGTGTTGGTTTTACTCTTTTCAGATGTTTGCCATTTTCTTTTCTCAGTGTTGTTAATTTGCTTTTAATATTGTACGCTGCCCAGAGTCACTATGAAGTCAGTCAGCTTTACAAGTGTGATAAATACATTTTAAAGGAGAATTGACTGCTGTTGAGACTAAAACTGCACAACATTCCTTCAGAAGCTGCATTGCGCACCATTCTGTACAGTATTAACATTATTTAAACATCTTTACTATACTTAATAATATTCCTTGTTTATTTCTCGGTATAATGCCTGAAATAGATGTCCTCATACCCATTTAAAGGACATAGGTGTGTCTGCTGATTCTAAAATAGCAATGTTTTATTTTTTTGTATTGCACCATTAATTGACAAATAATAAAAAACTTAAAATAGCTTTTTGTGGTTTGATTTTGCTTTACCTGAAATATAAAACATGGTAAACCTATATTCTGTGAAACTTTTAGAACCATTAGCATTGATTATAGAACTTCTTAAACTTCACAAAGATCAAGGGAAAATATTTTCAATCTCACAAAATTGAACTTTGTTTAGGATGTGAATCCCAATCTTTTTTTAAGGAGAATGAGCACATTTCACAAAATGGCTGTGGATCCAGTTACAAAGCATCCAAATACCAGAGGGCCATGTTTGGGATCCAGAATTTAGTTTCCTCAACCAAAAACCACAGTATCAAGACCAGTCAACTTCTAACTTTTTTTAAAACAACAACAACAAAACCTTACATCATCTTACTCAACCTAGCCCTTATCTAGGGACATTGTTCTGGGCTATCATTGCTAGCCATGTGGCCCCAGGAAAAGAGCATTTGCAACAAAGGGGCGATAGGACACTTTCTTGTATAAAACAGTTACCATTTTTAAATTCTGCATGATAATCAGTAGATTGATAATTAATAGATTCTCACTGATGTTGAAAGTAGGATGAACTATTTATTTTTTCTTTTCCCAGAATTGTCATTGTTCTTTTTTACTCCAATTCCTGGTACCATGTGATGCTATTTATCATATATAAAGGGATAAATTAGGGAAGAACGTTACTATATGGCTGTGTGACTGGATTGCTGGCTGATGTTAGGAGCCTATATGATGTATATGGCGCATGTGACTGCTCTTCCTTATTCTCCCCTCAGGGTTAAATCATGTCAATAAAAAGTTTAGGCCAAATGAAAAATATCAGTTCTTAAAGCTGGCCTGAGTCTCTAGTTTGGACTTCTCTTAGTTGATCTTGGAAAGCATATCAGGAGATAGGAATAAATCCCCTCATGGCTTGTAAAGCCAAACATTAATGGTAGCAATGCATAACAGGAATGTCTGAAAACCATTGGTGTAGAGAGTGAAATATAGCAGGATGAACGTTTAGGTCTTGGACTCTTAAGAGTCCCCTGGACTGCTAGGAGGTCAAACCAGTCAATCTTAAAGGAAATCAACCCTGATTGCTCATTGGAAGGATTGATAATGAAGCTCAAGCTCAGATAACCATATCGCGCCAGGCACTCTCTACACCAATGGTTTTCAGACATACCATATCGCGCCAGGCACTCTCTACACCAATGGTTTTCAGACATGGCCTGGCGCGATATGGTTCATGGGGTCACGAAGAGTCGGACATGACTTAACAACTCAACAACAACAACAACCATATTTCTCATTTCCTCGAGCAGTAGAACGTTCTGGGTTAGAAATCACCCTGCTTTTGGATACCACTGTATTATTATTGTTGCCTATTATGCAAGTAGGTAAGTGGGAAGCAAGTAAGGGTGCAGCATTAGTACCCAAGTGGAACTAATTCCTAAAAGAACAGCAGTACATCTGGTGAGGAATACTCAACTGCAACATCTTAGTTTTCTCTGGACCAGTGTTTCTCAACCTGGCAACTTGAAGATGTGTGGACTTCAACTCCCAGGTGTGGACTTCAACTCCCAGATCAATTCTGAGAGTTGAAGTCCACATATCTTCAAGTCACCAAGATTGAAAAAACACTGCTCTACACAGTCACTTTTGGATACCAGGCCCACAACTCTTACAAGTTTGGCAACCCTACTGTACAGCTTTTCAGTTTGTAGCAGATTATGAATTATCAACAAGACAGATGTGCTGCCTTGATCACATGAAGTAAGCATTTGAAACTGACCAAATACAGCAAAACTAAAGGCAGAGAGAGAGGGATTTCACAGAATGGCGGCTCTATCATACAATTTCACTTTAGAAAGTGAAATTGTATGAGGCCTCCAGATTTCATAGCATTGCTGGAGTCTAAAAATCAGTCTCGTTTCACCCCACCCCCAGTTTTTTAAAGTCATGTAAGAATTTTTATTTAAAGTATAGTTGGGGTACAGATTTTCTGTCTGCCAGATGTCAGGGATTTAGAATGTTTTGGAGGTATAAGATTATACCTAAATTAGGCAAATAAGTATCCCTCATCCCCAGTGTTTTGACTGAAAGCCTTTTGTAATTGGCCATGCTTGTTGAGACTGATGCAATTTGAAATTCAAATGTAATAGAAGACTCTAAGTTGCCCATCCCAGATTGATTGGTTGATTATGTGCCATCAAGTTGGTGTTGACTCTTAGCAACCACACAGATAGATTTTCTCCATGACAATCTGTTGCTAACCTGGTCTTTCAAGTCTTCCAATGGGGTACCCATCGCCACTGTAACTGAGTTCATCCACCTTGCTGCTGGTAATCCTCTTTTCTTCCACCTTTCCCAGCATTGGAGCCTTTTCCATAGAGCTGGATCTTTGCATAATATGTCTAAAGTAGGATAATTTGAGTCTGGTCATTTGTGCCTTGAGGGAGAACTCTGAGTTGATTTGTTCTATGAACCATTTGTTCGTTTTGCTGGCTGTCCACAGGAATGTCGATACTTTTCCTATCCTGCTTCTTCAAATTCAACTTTTGTTTCCATAGAATGTCACAGGGAATATCATGGCTTGCATGATTCTGATCTTTGTATGTATAGACACATCATGGCATTTGAATATCTCTTCCAAGGCTTCATGGCTGCTCTACCAAGCGCTAGTCTGTGATATATTTCTTGATTGCTTGTTCCTTTACTGTTGATGGTTGACCATAAAAAACAGAAGCTATACACCATTTCAGTATCTTCATTGTCAGTTCTAAGGCTGGTTGTTCTACCTGTTGACATTAGTCTTCATTATATTTAATTTTTATCCCTTTTTTTTTCACTTTGGTCCTTGACATTTATTACTAGAGCTTTCAGATCCTTTGCATTTTTGGCTATCAGGTTGGTGTCATCAGCATAGTTATTGATGTTTCTTCCTCTGATTTTAAAACTATGTTCATTTTTTTCCAATTCAACTTCCCTTAATATATATTAAGTATAATAGGTTGAATAAATCTGGGGAAATTATACAGCCTTGTTGTACTTTGCCAATGTGGAGCCAGTCTGTTTCACATCCCTTCTCATTTACACTGGACCCTCTTCAGAAACTGTTGGGCACAAATTTGTGTATTTGAGGTTTTGCAAGCAAGAATTCTCTTTTCTGTTCCAACTGAAGATATGATTGGTGCTTTCACCTTGGCCAGTGATGTTGACCAGTGGAATGGGAAGTGATTGAAAGCAGTTCTTTCCCATCAAAATCAAAGAAAACCAGTTCCATTAGGGTCAACAGCACTGATTCTGTGCCTCATGATGTGTGTGGTAGTTCTCTGTTCTGATGAGACTGAAGGTATGTAGTTTCATTTCTTTGAAACATAAATTCCTATGTGAACCCTATTTTGCATTATTTTAAAAGGTTATATCCATTTATCTGAAATGGGTAATCTCATTTTTGAGCATGAAAATGTTTGCTGTTAAACTGTCTTCCTAGATAGCTTTATTTTTTAACAGACATGACAGCATAGATCTTTAATGTTGTCTGCCAACCCAAGATGCACTGAAATTAAATTAAATCTGAGAGGTGAATTTAATATCACCTTAAGGTGGCTGAACATAGCAAAGAAAACAGATTTCTTATTTTGTGCCTCCAAATTATTAAATGTTAGAAGTAACATTAAAGATGATAGGATATTTTGATGGATTAGTTTCTGTCAAATTAAGGTGAAAACATTATTAGGCTTGGCATTATATCAGCATATGATTAATGTTTGTTATATTACACTCTTGGAATGTTAAATAGAATGTGGGAAAAAACTCTTCACATTTGATAAGGATGTGCATAATTAAAAAGTGAAATGTTACTTTGTTTTTAAGTGAAATCAATCACTTTAATTGGAAAGAAATATCCCTTATTTCTGTTGATAATTGGACTCTTGATAATTTTAAATCGAGATTCATAACAGTTTGTGATAAATTGGCTCCTTTTAGGCTAAAAGAAGCTCAGAAATTATAATTAGCCATGGATTACTCCTGGATGACTAGATCAAAGAGATTGAAGGAGATAGGAAGAAAAGCTGTTTAGTATATGAAGATTTATTAGGTTTTAAAGCAGCTCAAGAGTATATGTATGGCGGTAGCAAAAACAAAAGCTCCACAATTCCAAAAAAAAAAAAAAAAATCTCAGGGAGCATGAAAGGAAATGAGAATTTTAGTCCCTGTATTAATCTGTCCAACATTTGAGCTGAAGAATTTATGTGTCAGGGATTTAAATGCGCAGAACTATTGTAGCAGGAATTGCTACTAAAAATGATTAGAAACCATAATTTGAACAAATATAATGAGCTCAACCTGAGCTCATGTTCATTCTTTCTCTCTCAACCTGCCTCTCCCCCGCCCTGCAATCCAAGGCTTTTAATAAACATGGCTGTGGTACAGTTGAAAAATGCAAGGTAAAGTGGACAAACATAACACGTGGGTGGAGACAAGTTATAACTGTGTGGGTGGAGGGATTTAATATAAAGTCCAGCAAGAACCTAGCAAGTTTAGTAGTGGTTATACTCAATCTCCAAGCCTCCACACACACCCCTGATAATTCTGGAAGTAGAAGCTCCAGCATATCTAGAATGCATCAGGTTGGGAAAGTCTAAACAGTTTAATGGAACATCATGGTCCCCATAATGCACAAGCTACACAAACAGTTCTAGATGACACCAGAAATGATATGGCAGCAGCACCTAACCAACCTTGGCTAATCTCAAAAACAAGTAGGGTCAAACTTGGGAGACCACAGGAAACTCCACAATTATAGGGTAGATTGAAAGTCAAAATAATGGCAGACACAAACCATTTCTGTTTTGATTTCTCTGATGATACATTGTTTGTTTTCTTGGCTGTTCCACAGTATTCTTTGGAGCCTTTTCCAACACCAAAGATTAAGAGTGTCAACACTGCTCTTATCCTTCTTCAAAGCCTAATTTTCACTTCCATAGAGTGTCACAGGAAATACCATGGCTTGCACAATTCTGATCTTTGT